TCAGTCATTCTCAGCCTAAACTAAACTAAACACCACTGACTGCGCCGCTAACGAAGGAACCGTTGGGCACCTCACCTCCATTGACATCGCACATGATCGCCATTTGTTTGTATACGGACTCTCCAGCCTTTCCAAGTCACATGTTTTTTTGGTGTGTGTGTTTAGCAGTGTGTCTCGCAAGTAAAACATAGAAAACACATGAAAACAATGATCGTTTGCATACTAGATACCACCATCGTGGTTGCATTTGGGCTGGAAAGGAAAGGTTGACAGAGGCCAAACAGTTCCAACAAAAGTTGCAAGGTGTCAGAGGGACCTTTTTCGTCCTTTTCCAGTCCCTACAGGCCCTACCTTCTTTTTGAAGAGACTCGGGTCACGTGGCCGTTCTTAGTTGGTGGAGTGATTGGCACATGAAATCCAACAAAAACCATGCGCCGTTGTATCGATCCAGGGCATCCTGCGGGGTTTTTCCGTCCCTTGCTGAGTTCGTTTGGAGGATTTCCACTTCCTCCCCTGGTGGGACTTTGTCCATGAACAGCGAGCAGGGAAGGGTGTGGATGGGACGCACTCGGTCTACCTAGCTCAGGACGGAGGTCGATGCGGTCACTGGGGGTCGATGAGGTCGTTGGGCTTGAAAAGAAGCAACTTGGCCAGAGCCTTGCTGTGAACTGAGCCTTATTGTCCCAAACAAACTTGGTAGACCCAACGGGCACAGATATTGTTAGGTTGAGGACCCTTGCTTTCAATCACAAAGTGAAGCTCTCCTTGGTTTGTTGCGTTTGATGCACAACTGTAGCCTACTGCTTGGTTGATTGGTCTTTGGAATCAAGGCCACTTGGTGATGTATGTTTTTGCTTTTTGACAGGCACTTGTGCCAGTGGCTTTGACTTGGAGCGTCCAAAGTGTGGCTTTAGCCAAACATGTTGTGGTCAGTAGGTGAAAACACCGTAAAAACACCTGCAGTTGGAGAGCTTGAAGTTCCAAACCATCCTGCAACTCATCGGGTCATCCTGAAATTTTCCGGGTAGTCGCTGAGGGGTAAAAAACTTGGCACCAGGCACAAATGCAAGCACTACAGAAAGCAAGCTTCAACCGGGCAGTTTGTTCTCAAAGAAACCTGGTCTCAACCCTGCCAAAGGCAGAACAGGAAGAATTGCTTCTGAGCCAAGGATGCAAGAAGAACACCTTCTGAGCAAATGCACAAATGATGCAAGAAGAACACCTTCTTATCACAAAGGGTGCTTAGTGATGTAGAAGAAGAAAAGAGGGGTACAGTAAATTGGGACCCTCATGACACCTGACATAACCTGACACATGTGTAGTCATGTGTATGTGTATTTCAATAGGGGGACCCCCTGGCCCCTGGCCCAATCGGTAGACAGGTATATGTCCCTTCTTCCAGGGGGTTGTCTCCTCGGAGGTCTCCCTATGTTCATGACATTCACACACCATAATATATATAATATATAGATATGTGAAGATGTTTCAGAAGCCTCATGGGCTGGTTTGATGTTAAAAACATTCTACATTACTATACTCCAACTCCTACTATAGATAGGAGTGCTCCGGGAGTCCCCCGTCCGGGCCGACCCGCAGAAAACGCGTCGCCGGACGTTGGGACGTTGGAAAGCGATGCGGAACCCGGGACGCGACACCCGGGTGTCTCTGCAGAGTGCCCATTCCATCGCCCCGTTGACAGCCTCCAGGAGATGCAAAAGGATGATGAGCTGGCCTCCCGCTTGATGGAGAAGTGGCTGGGCGGGTGTTTTTAGATGTTTTCGGGCTGGGTATTGGTTGGTTGGGGCCGATTCAGGGACCAGTCAGGGACAACACAATGACAAACAAATTGCTTGCAGGAACCTCGGCGTAAAGGTTCCTGGATTGTGAAATGTTTACGTTCATTCCCCAAACAGCTGTGCTGTGAGGGGCTCTCAATGCTTGCATGGAAACAGTTCCCACCTGTGCTGAAGCCTGAAAATGTGTGCTTCGGATTGCTTCTGAAGAAAACAAGACACATGGATTCAAACCTGCTTCCCCGACCACATTGCAGAGCAAAACGACCTTCAGCAAAATATTCCTCTTTGAGTATGAGCTGCATTCCAATGGACGCCCATCCCAATTAAGGGTCCAGGACCATCCGAATCGGATGTCCTTTGACCCCAAAGACCATTCTCTTGAAGTACTTTCACCTCCAAGAGTCCAAGACCATCCTCAAGAGGTACCTGAAACCGACCTCATCCGATCTCCCTGAGTTCAGCTTTCAACGTGGTCCGGTTTTTCGTTCGCATGGCTTCGCGGACGGCTGGTCCAGCACAGTGTGTTGGGTGGAACATAATGTAGATCTTCGTTAATGACCCGCCAGAGTGAAGACATATTTTAATCCACAAATGGGGTAGAAATTTGTCCTCAAACAGCAGACAGGACATTGTCCACTGTAGATGTCAGCTGACGTCTGGCTCACAGGATTGGGCGCTGCCGCATGGAAGCGATCGCCTTGGATGGTCTGGAAACCTTATTCGATCCATTGGCCAAGGCCAATCCCGATGCAAAGGCGCAGCTGCGAGCGCAGGAACCAGCGATCGCAGGTTCAGCGCTGTGACCATTTGAATTCAGTTCGTTCATTCACCAAGTTTAGTTCAGAACGCATGACCAAGTTTTTGGAGACTCCTTTTTAAACTCAGCTTTTTAAATAATGCTGGGATGAGAGGGGATGAGAGGGGATGAGTCATGCCGTCATGCCTGCTTTGTTTTTGGTTCCGCTGTTATAGGTCTAATGACCTGACCAGCCTTCTTGAGTGCCACCCTCTACGCCAAAGCTCAAAGAAATGCAGTTGGGATCGTCAGGTGTCCACCCTATCGACGATTCGGTGGTCGCCCACGACCCAGCATCCGGACCCTGGACTCCTGGACCCAGCGGATCATCCAACGTGTCGCCGGTGCCGTCCGGCGCCGGCGCCGGTGTCGCCGGTGTCGCGGAGTCGCCGCGCAGGTCATCATGATGAATTGGCGCACGTTTCGACAGTGGAGAAACTCACTGGACACTTTTGTCCATAAACTCACGGCATCTTGGTGACAGTAGTTGTGAGTGTAGTTGCGATGCGCAGTCGTGAGAAGCATGACTGTTTTGGGCGGTTCTAGTGCATGCTTGTTTGGGGGGAAAGATATCATCGGCCCATGTTCGATCAGACCCGGCGTTGCACGCCCTCGCTGCCTGATATCGGGTGCGGAATTTGCCTGCATGCCCCAAAGGAAGCGTAGATAACAGTTGGATACAGTTGGTTGTTGCATGCTGTACACGAACCAAGCCCCTCCTATATTAAATAAGTTGAAACATGACCCAGCATCTCAGCAGTGCATTAAAACCTAGAGGATTGCTTTTTGTGTCAAACTGTGAAATCGAGAGATTCATCTCAGCGAAGTGTGTGCTCTCCGTCGCTGGTTGTGTTCCCCTCTTGGGCTCCACCACCGACCTGGTCAGTATGTGCTCTCAGCGACGGAGGTGATGGTCTACCACAACATCATCACTGGCAGCTCCTTAGGCCAGGATACTGCGTGTCCAAAACCTGCTTCGAAGGGCTTCGGCCTCCTGCAGGTTCGGTCGTTGTAGGGATCGGTGGATCGTTGGAGGGATCGGTGGATCGTATGCGCGGGATGATGGCATTGGACATGCCGAGACCATGCGATTCGGGGAGTCACGATATAGACGTCTGATGTGTTTGATGTTCCGATCAAAAGGGGCCGATGGGATGGAGAAAAAGCGGTTCGTTTGGAGAAGAGAAGGCAAGAGAATGAGATCGAGATATTGACCTTTGTATGTGTCAGGCACATCGTAGCAGGATGTTGGAATTATGTTTATGAGTCTTGAGTGCTTGCCTGGCAGGATTTCTGGCGCCAGGAATGGTGCTTCTACCATCCAGGTCCAAGAGGTCACCACCAGGTCCAAGAGGTCACTACCAGGTCCAAGAGGTCACCACTAGGTGCAAGAGGTCACCACTAGGTCCAAGGGGTCACCACTAGGGCAGGGTTCGGCTTCACCTCCACATACCTATATAATACCTACACCAGTACCTACATCCCATCTGACCGTCAAAAACAGCCGGTGGCCACCGGCGATGCGCGGATGATTCACATGATGGTTCGACCAGTCACTCGAAGCATCCATTTGACCGAAACCTCGTCTCAAGACATCTCAAGATGGTCCCAGGTCACATTACAAGTGTTGCTATGTGCTGCTCCCAAGTCTTGTGGAAGCAAGAGAACAAGGCAAATGGATTGCACATGGTATAGCCTTGGTGCTTGTGCTGCCCAAACCAACAAATACATCTTCGATCATCTTCGTGCTGCCCATCCCGCGAGTCCCCGACGTCCCGGAAGATCGCGGCCAAGCCACTGGAGATGTTCTCCAGTCCACCCTCCAGTCCACCTCACTTGAGACCAGCACACTTCACACACCCAACTTGGGTCATTCATGGTCATTCTCCAAAAAGCACGAGCAGAATTGGGCCCGCCTCACTGAGGTCCAGAGGAAACCGGAGTTGGGAGGATTTATAATCAACTAGGTGGTGGTTTCGGATTGGTTTCTTAATTTTTCAACCTGTACTTGGGATGATTGAAGCAGATTGAACCGCACACCTCTTCGAAAGCGCCAACCGTCCGCGAGGTCTGCTGCCCTGGTTGGCGCTCTTGCAGCCTTTGGATCGCCTCAGCGGTGGCCACGTGGAGCATCTCCTGCGCAGTGGTGGGCCGCCGATTACCGAGGCAGGTGAAGCAGGTTGTTAGGACCAATAGGATGTGGTGTCCGAGTGAGGACCTGGGGTGTCCGAGCGTGGTGTTTCTTGGTAGACTATGGTAGACTTTGCGGAAAGGTGAGGAAGACATATGACAAAAGAGGTGTTGTTCAAGCATGAAGTCTACAAAGATGTTTGAGGTCAAGGGTGCTTTTAGGCAATAGATTGCAAGAGTATCTTCCAAATGCTTCTCTTGCAAAGGTGGGCGGTCCTATGGTTTGGCTGTACCACCAGAGCATGAAGCTTGGCAGGAAGAACCGTTCATGGACTGTGCCATTCCACAACTCAACCAGTGTCATGAGTATTTGAGACAACTCTTTTGAACAGATCCTGTCCAAACTTGCCATTCATTCCTTACCTGCCTGAAGATTATTGAACCCACATATATACAGTGTACATACATACACACTGAATGTATATATATAATATATATATATTTAACATATTAATGTGATACGATGACATTATAGTGCATGCACGTGTTGTTTTGCTACATCACGTAGCAACATCGTAAATTGCGTGCTACAACCATTTGTTGCTGCTCGCTTTCATCCGAACGGCTTGCACAGGGGAACCCCACGGTTGGTGCGGGCCGGGAGGCGTTTGGGGTTCCAAGTGTGTGGATTGTTGGAACCTGATCATCCTAACTTAATGTAGCGTTTGTCCCATTGCCTGTAACAGTTGGTAAAGCCTGTAATTTACTGAGCATCATTTGTTGGTTATTGGTAATGGGATAGACCCAATGTAGAGTCAACAAAAATATTTCAACCATCCAGGCTTGAAGAGGCTTTACACTCCATGTCCGGATGGGGTCATTAATCAAGATTCTAAATTAGGCCGAGTCTTTGCCAGCTTAAACTGGTGAACAGAGCTTCAAGTTTACCACTGGTGAAAAAAGTGTGAAAAAGACTATGGGACCCTGGGATTCTGCCAGCGATATTTGGTGTTGTCTACTATGGGACCCTGGGATTCTCCCAGCGATATTTGGTATTGTCTACTATGGGACCAAACAATGTCCATCAAACTTTGATCATCAAACCGTCCTTTTTGTTCCACCCTCCAAAACATGACCTGACACATGATGAGCGGTAGGAACCACCTCAACCGAGGAATCACCGGAGGCAGTATGAATGTTGGACGCCACCATCAACCTCAATTGCTCCGCAGACGGAGGAGGAGTACCAGGAGAGAAGGTATATCAGTCAACAGGAAGCTATATAAGCTTTTATATGTCCCCACCCCCACCCAAAAAAGACAGAGGAAGAGGGCATTGAGGAAGCAGAACCACAAAAAGGCCTACAGAGGCCTGGTCGGTCTTTGTTTTTCTATGGTAGTTTGGTTGTGAAAGACTTTGGGTGCTCAGCCCTCGAAAGGTTTAGTAGGTCCATGTAGGTCCTTGATGTTGAATTTGCCCCCTTCAGAGAGCATTTGAAGCGCTGCTTGGTATGCGGTGTTTTCCGCTTCTTCCGGCCTGACCTCTGTCCACTCGTGGGCTGTCAGGGTCGATGACTCGAACTCGGCAGAGTTCGCCTCCTGCTTGGTCTTCGGAGTCTTCGTGGCATAGGGTCTTCCGAGTCTTCGTGGATGCCCCATCCACGTGCCGATGAGTTCGTTCGTGTCAATTGGGTGAGGTAGAATTCGGGAACCCAACGCGTCGAACCGCACGCGAGGCGCCTGTGCCATGTGTCCTGGTGCAAGATCAGCGTCTCGCGCGCGGACACGTAGTGCGAAGCTGGCAGGACTTCTACGGCAAGGCTAAGAAGTACTTCTCCAAAGAGCAAATCTTTGATTGGGATCCGCGAAAGAACACCTTGGAAGCCTGGCAGTGGAATTGCTCAGTGTTTTTCTTTTACAAGGGACATATGACATAATATGACATATGTGTGAATTCAGGATCGAGTGCACTCAGATGCTTTGAGACCTGCATGAAGGTCTTTTTCATATTCAAAGCCAGTGTTCGTTCTTGTCGCCTGTCAGCAAATTCAAGGAAGAGTTGTGCAACTTCCTGGGCATTGATCCCTGCATCAAGAAGGGCAAGGCCAGCGGCCAGCGAACAGAGCATCCGCCCAAGGAAGCACAGCTACTCCCAGGGTTAGCCACTACCTGGTCCTAACATATCATGAAATTCAATTGCGTTAATTATTCACACGCACCTCAGGTTGAACAGTTGGAAAAGATAACGGTTGGTGCAATGAGTGGCCTCATAGTCAAAGTTAACTTGGTGCTGCACATTCGGGAGACTGCACCGTGTTCACCAAAGCCTCATACTGATCAAGCAGTTCCACCATGGCATGCACCAGGCACCTTCCCCCCACCCACACACACATGCCTGATTGATCCCTGTTTTGGAGCCAAACAGTTGTCTTGTTCATTCGTTTTCTATCAAAACCAGAGGTCAAATGAGTCGACACGGGTTCTACTTCGGCACGCCATCACTTCCAGGTCTTTCGGGCCCCACATCCGGGGCGCGGGTGCGATTGGCCGACTTGGACCGACTCGTCATCGGAGGGTGGCTGGATCCCAAGTAAGGTAGTACCATATCGAATGAGGCTATCTCCCTTAAGGGACCACCTAGGAGTCGCACCAGGAAAAGACCCTGACATATATAAGTTGACTCTGGTAGACTCGACTACGGATCATCCAATCATGTCCATGCCCCTATGGATGGTTTCGGAAGGCCACAGAATGCGCTGATTTGTTCGCTGGGCAAGGAGGTGTGTGTGTGTGTGTGTGTGTGCGTGTGTCTCATTTGTCGCAGCATCGCTGGAAGCCCAGAAGCCCGGAAGTGGCAGGTGCCCAAAGCCATCAACACTTGGATCTTTGAGCGTGATTTTCCCATCGCCGCCAATGCGGTCATCGTCTTGCGGCTGTTCCTACACTGGGTGAACTGGAAGCTGTCGCTGAGCTGAGAAGGGAAGCGGGCCCGCGTACGCGGCCTCCCCGAACCGTGGATCGGATCGGAGAAGAGCGACCGGGGTAGCCCAACAGAGGTTGTTTGTATAAGAGGACCCGAACGAACCTCGGGGTACCCCCAAGTGGGATAGTTCTCCGATCTGATCTTCTTCGTTGGGGTACCTGTGGGTCGGTAGATGCAACTGGGGATAGTCCATAGGCATCCGGAGATCAAACTGGGGACCTTCTTCAACCTCTGTTGGATCTGCGAAGATCGCGTCGGTCTGGAAAGCGATGACTGGATTCCAGTCACTTAAGTGGTGGGAGTGGTTGGATGGTCGGATGCACATGGCCCCACAGGGGTCGAATATGGCATGGAGATCGGGATGATGTATACACACCCAGCTCAAGGTGGATATATGTGGATATAGCTGGCGTTCGGAGACCCACATGAAAGCATAGCATGGACCTTTGGAAGACTGTCATCCCCTAGTACAACAACCAGTGGTTTTCAGGTTCCATGTGGGTCTCTTCCATGTCCGGGAACCCCACAACGGAGCTGTGAGATGTTGAGAGCATCCGGAAGTCCCGGGAAAAAACGAAGATGTTCAAGAAAGCCAAAAAGATCCAAGACGACTAGTGACTTAATATACCAGCAACACCCAAAGGGTAGTTTATAGACCACAATCCTTGCGTGGTGCTAGAATATATACGATGCGTCTCTTATTTTTTATCATTTGTCCAAGTGTCAGGAGGCTTCCGGAGTTGCTCCACCTCACCCCATGAAAAAACACTTTAAAAAAACAAGATACCAGCACCTTCAAAGGGGTCACCAATGGAAGCCCCTACACTACCATCCGGGATCTCCATTGGTAACCCCTTTGAAGGTCCAGGTAACCAAAGTTTCTTTTCCTTGATGCCTGCTTTTGGCTTCGCCTTCGACTTCCCCAGAAACTCAGGTTCGACGCGCTGCTGTCACTGCCCTTCTGGTTCTACCGCGCTTGGCGGGAACGGCCGAAAGTCGACTAGTCGGCGGAAAAGAGCCGTCGTCTGCCACCGTGGTGGAGGAAAAGGGAGTCGACTTGAACATCTTTTGTGCTGGTCCACTGACTGGTGTGTGCTGGATTTCCCAAACATACGTAGAACACGTGAATGCCGTGCATGTTGAGGCTTCTGGCTCGTTCTTTTCCTGTGGAGAATGGCACATGGTTCACATGATGGCACTCTGACATTTGGCATTTCTTTGGCCCGTAACAGGTGGCGGTCCGGTTTTGAAACACAACAGTCTCAGCAGAGTACGTTTTCCATTGTGTTCATTGCGCACTCAAAAGGCGCTGACAGAGTTGAAGGGCCTTTTTAGTGAAACGATGTGCGAGGACGGGGCTCATCGAGACCATGTGCCAATAGATGAGATGTTCTCATCTCGATTGAAGATGCGATGCGATGGTCCTTCAGGATCCTTCATGGAGTTTTTGCAACCTGATGCTATAGGCAGCCTATAAGTCTATAGTGGGATAGGCCCATGATGGCCATGTATAGGGTGGTGCCATATATATGAACTTGACCTAAGCCTATAGATGTTGCTGGGGATTTGGCTATGAACATCCACAGCATCCAAAGGCTAACCAATGAACTACACCCTGTACTCGCCTCACTCGACTAATATAAAGACTCCATTTCACAATCACCCCTAAAACACCCTCCTAGACGTGATATTTTTTGAGACCTGCCATGGACGATGAGACCCAGAAAGCTCTCTGGGACCCACTGCAGGTCACCCCCTTCCATCTCGACCCTTCCTCACTGCCATCCTCGACCTCCGGCGCTCCACCGCGGGCAGAACCGCGAGAACCGCGAACTCGGGGCATCGGTGTCGATCGGTGTCGACTCAGGCCAAGTTCCTGCCCATCCCAACGCCTGCCAGGTGGGACCCGATGAGACGGACCCGCCCCGGCGACGCGTGCCCGAGTGCCTTCCGTGTCGACGTGTCAGCGGACGTCGTCAGGACACAGGGACCTGCGGGTCACACGTGATGAAACGACAGAAGCGTCCCGCCCCAGACGTGACGCCAGACGTGGTGTGAGTAAACGTTTCGAAGATGGGGGGGGTGGAACAGAATCGAAGAGATATCAGTCTACAGGACATCCATCAAAATGGCGCGCCTTCCCTTCTTAGAGGGAGAAAGAAACGATGATTTAGGATGATTTGGAGTCTTTCTCTTAATCTTTGTTCACGCTCTTCCGGGGCAGTTGGTGCCTTCCGTCTTGCTCTTCCGGGGGGCCGGTACGGTGGGTCTATCTCGTGGGGTCCGTCCGAATCGGATCCCACCGAATCCCGCGAGGCCGACCGCGCCCGGCGGAACGGGTGCCAGGGTTTGGGTGCGTCACCCATCTAAACTGAAGCAATTTGAGCAGCGCCATAAACTCCCATGTAAGGGCTTAGGATAGAGGTTTTTGGCATGGCTCATTTGGGTTTGGAATGAGTTGGGATGTGGTGGAATGTTGGGTTTGTGTCCTGGAAGTGGCCATGAGTTCTGTCCCAAGAGACGGTCCAAGTCGCTCGGCACCCTGCAGGTCCCGAGCCCGAGCCTGCTCTCGTCGTTGCCGAGGCGGCCCCGACGGTGGAAAATGGCGGAGAGAAGAAGTGCAAACACCCCTGGGACGAAGACTCCAAAGGCCTTTTCCAAGTGGTGAACACATTAGGGGGTTTTGGCCGGTTGGCATTGTCTCATGAATAGTCGTGTGATTTTGTTGAGTGTAAGGTTGGTTTTTTCTAGATGTATGACGCTTTGGAGCCCGGGAAGAGTTATAGCAAGTTTTGACCATGTTGGCAAGACGGTTCCCCATCTTCTCCAAGGGTTCCTATGTCTTGAATTTGTGCGATTCCAAAAAGCCCCGGTGAGCATTCTCCCCGCCAAAGGTAAGCTGACTCAACACTGGATGTCATACTGGTGATCGGAAGAAATCCTGTTTTACCCACAACGCCAGGCAGTGCTGATATCGTTTGCCTTGTTCCTTCTCCACAAAACCTTCCGTGTTCCTTCATGAACAGATCAGACTCTAACTTTTTGCACCGAAGGGAAGCCTGTAGCACCATCTATAGCACCTGCGATATACTGGTATGGAAATTGTAGCACCATGTAGTATGTAGCACCATTCCTTTTTTTACGAGTGTTCTTGGTGAACTGGCAGGTGTAGGATTCTTTCTTCCATCAGAGGAATATACCATGATCAGCCAATGGGTGCTCCTGTTTGGAGGTCCACAAAAGAAAGTGCAGGCTAGTCAGGTAGTCTATTGGCGACCCATTGGATGATCCAGGTATAGAAACAACATGAAACAACTGTACCGGTACCATCTTCCCCCGGTTCGGCGACTCCCTTGACACCCTCGAGACTAGCGTTCTGGCAGGCAGTCTTGGGAAGGGATTTCCAGGTGCGCTGCACCCCGGGGACTCGGTGCCGATTGCGTTTTTGAAGGGGGAATTCTGGAAGAACTGTCGAACTGGGGGAAGGATGCCCAACTGAAGTATCCTGAGTCCGAAGTCGAGTCTTCCAAGATCCCATCGTCCACATGCACATGCTCCTTCTGCTCAAGCCCCAATGTGCTGCAAAAATGCATTATAAATTAAGACATGTGACTGTGTGCCATTTTTGGCTTTCCCGCCCTGGCTCCGCCCCACCCTGTGTCGTTGCTGCCGGGGGGCTTTTGTTTTTGAATCCTGGCATTTGGGGGCTTCATTGTTTTCATCCTGGTCAGCTGAGCTGCAGCTGCTGGCCACCAAAACTTGGTTTTGCGTTTTGCGGCTTTTTGTCTCGCAGCAAAGCACAAAGGAGCAAGTAGCATGGGCACTTCCGTAACTTCAGCCTTTGGCAACTGCAGCGGGAGACGAGAAAGTGATTGAACGCATGTGTTTTAATGTTTTTCTTTTTGTGTGTGTGTGTGAAAGATTTGGGGACCTATCAGGCAGGTTAATGGCAATACTCAGCAACGGGATGAATCCTGGATCATGTTGTTTGAACCCTGCATTGGTCAGGTCCTTTTGTGAACATGCAAAATAATACAAACGACTTGTTGGACTGCTCAATGATGCGATGATCGTGCGATGGAGCGGCTCAAGCCGGGGGGTGAGTCCCAATCATCCCAATCCTCCTGAGAGACACTTATATTACATATTATGCATATTAGACATATATTCCAGCAGCAAAGGGTGGTAATCGGATGGAACATACATTTTTAGTCTATAAACCACCCGGACAGGGTGGTGCTGTTTGTTGCTCTTTTCTTCGATCTTGCCCTCCTGTCGTTGGCGTCGCTTCGTTGCCTTCTTACCCTCTTCGTCTTCGACTCGGCTTCAACCGATGTCTCACCACCTCCAGCGTTCGCCACCGATGCTCGCAGCGGTGAACGCGCCGATCGGCCCGATGCGACGCCTTCGATCGCCAGGGCACCCAGTTCTACGGCACCTCCGTTCCGCGGGGGCGTTGCTGGTGCCTCGGCGTGGGCGAGGGAGGGCAAGGTCAGACTGGCCGAAATGGGGTTTGGACCAACCTATGAGTGAAACATGGTGAAGCCTATTTGGACCCTTCCAAACCGATTGTGACAAACCTAGACAAGGAAAACCAAGAACTCCACTTCCATTCTTAGCCTGCAAACAAGCAGATCCAGACCAGCTGGATCTCCCCCATGAGAAGCAAGCGTCGTACTTGGCGTTTTTGGTGCCCCCGGCTCCTTGCCTGAGTTTCTAAATCAACAAGAAGAAGAATGACTTGGGTTGCGAAATTGTTTTTTGTGCTTTGTTGGGCAATGGTATTTTGGATCTTCCAGGAATCAACTGTGAACAGCTACCACCGGCTCCCGGCGAAGGGCGAGGTGTACAGTTTTATACAGTACTTGGATGGTTTCAGAATGTTTGAGGTTCCATGATGTTACCAATCAACCAACCCTAGCCGCTAGCCTGATCGGGAGTCACCAGTGATGTTCAAGTCCGGATGTGCCGGTTCCACTGGCGATTTCGCCAGGTGGGCTTGCTGCGATTGGTGCTTTTCGCTGCCCGGTGGGTTCGAGCATGGGCCGGACGGCGCGGAGGATGGGGTCACAGCAGTCATAAGCGATGTCGGTGATTGTCGGTGTTCTTGTTAACTTAGTTTCCGGATGGGTGTTTTTCCTCTCATAAGACCAGTTTTGTATCTGGTTTGTCTGGATGGATTTTAATTCTACAAACTGAAGAAGCTTCTGCAACTGCCCTACTCTCCTAAACCCGTGGAAAAGTCACTGAAATCAGGAGGATACAAGGAAAACCCTTGCCGACAGAGATGTCTCAAGGCCAAGTGACCAAGTGACCTGGTGACTGGCGGTGGCGCCACTGGTGGAGTTCCGACATCGCCGGTGGTCTGAGGCTTTGCTCATCTTGCCCGCCTGCTTGCGCATCGGCCTCTCCTACTTCCGCAGCCCGCCCGGACCGCCTGGTGAATCAATGTGTTGGGTTTACCAGCAGTCATATATATATTACGATATGCCTACATTGGGGTGGTTTTGGGGGTCAATGTAGGCATAGCATACATGGAGTGTTTGGGTTGGTTTCACTGCGACGGTGATTCTTGACGTCAAAAGTTGCATGCGTGTGCCTTCATGGTTTGGGTGATCACAGGTTGACACAACCATTTGGGGGAGCCAGACAGGACAGATGTCCACGGTCCTTTCTCGAATTCACCCATAGAAATAGATGGAGAGTGGTCACCTCCAGTAACTCCGTCTCCTGTGAACATCATGGAACAACCCCCCCTTCACACGTGGAACATGTCAATGCTCAGACTCCCATGACTGGACGGGTCACTCGCAAAACCCAATGCGCCAGCCAGTTTTCGCCAGCCATTCACCCGCAAAACCCAATGCGCCAGCCAAGCCGTGGCACTCATGCCACTCATCCAGGCGCATCTTGCGTGCTGTGAGCTACGGCTCAAGGCATGTGCATCTCGATGGAGGGGACTTGGGCGAAACTGGGCGAAACTGGGGCACACACACCTCCACCTAGCATACCAGATCCCCAGTGAGGCATTCTCGTTCACTCGTTCAGATGTGGGGTCCTGAATTGCTTTTAAACTTGTGGAACTTGGAACATCAAGGCTGCAGAAAGAAAGACATATCTTGCCAATTCATGCCAATTCCAAGTTTCGACAGACCTCCAGCGCATGTCTGGAAAAAGAATAAATGGGTTTCACTTTAGGGCCGTCCTCGCCGGGCTAGCACACACATCCAACGCACAACATACATCACGATTCAGGATGAAGTACCCAGAGTTAACGACTCGCCTTTAAAGTTATTAAGCAATGCCCCTAGTTGTGCGACACCTGCAGCAACCTCATCAGCCAGGACCACCAATGGACAAGACAGGTCTACGACAAGCAAGTCTGTGTGCTCCCATTTTCTTCCGCACGTGGGATGGTCCTGAAGTGTCCTGAAAGATAGTACCAGATAGATAGATCCAGATAGATCCAGATAGACGTCAATGGTCATTCTGAATCGGCTGGGGGAGGGCATTCCCTTCCAGTCGCGAAGAGGGCATTCTCTTCGGCCTGTCTCCCTCTAGTCCGCAGGCCTCGACAATTCTTGGACATCTACCTGCCCACTGAGGAGCTTGGGCGGATGGAGAGCGGAATTAAATAGACAAACCACGCCACATGGCGTCAAGAAGCCGGAGAGAGAAACGTCATAAGACACTAAGAATTGATAGAGACTTCTTTTACCACCATGCAGGGACCACGGGCTTTGGGCTTTGGGGTTCATGAACATAGATCACCCTACACTGCTTATGGGTCCCACACACCGGGGCACCTTGATGGTAGTCTCGGATGGTCCACTGAGAGAAGGGCTTGCGAGTTCGCCCATCATGCACGACAGAACTTTGCCGCGCGAATGCTTGGCTTTCCCAAGTTGTGAAAGATCAGACTGGGGACAAGACCCGCTTAGAGAGATAACTGGCGGGGAGCACGAAGAACACTTACATTTGGTCCATTTGGTACTTGTAAAAAAGGAACAACACACACAGAGCATGTACAGCATTTTACAGCCTTCTGCAGTTCGGAAGTAGTTGACCTCGGGCTTTTCTACCAGCGACGTGTATCTTGGACAGTATTTGGTGCAGATCACCAGTACCAGACAAACCTCGCCCACATCCGAACGGGCTCAGTCACTTCCCGCACGACCGCTGCCCCGCACGCGCCTTCCCCGGGCGACGCCTCGAGGCTGCCGGTCATCCCGCGCCCGTGGTCATCACCGTGATGGGCGGAGCTTGGGTCATCGGACACCGGCCACTCGTCGTGTCATTCATCAACGCGCAACGCAAAAGAGTCTTCCAAGATCTTCCAAGTCTGGTCGCGCAGATGGAGCTCTCTGGTGCTTCATTTGATCGTGGTCTATTGGAACCTGTTCGTTTATGTTTGTTTGCCACCAAGACTGGGACACGTCCAAACATATCCACACGATTGAATTAGAGCATGATTAGATGGCTGCTGAGCTCACAGAATGCAGTCTCACCAGAGCTCCCATAGCGGCAAATCACAGGCGTTTATGAAAGGTGCACATTCACTGCATTCAGAGTCCGTGTTGCTTTAATCAGAACAGAGGACTGCATCGAAATGTTTGGCCGGACGAGGGTCTATAACTTAGCACCGGTTTTCCCCGTGCTTTCGGGGGTTCCGCCGGACATCGTGAACTCGGGTTCCGTTCGGTTCGTTCTCCCAGCCCGTTGGGACCGAAAACGGCCCGAAATGGCAAGGCTTTGGAACGTCTTGCTTGCATGGAGACTAGCGCCTTGGTGCGACTAAAAAGGGCGAAACGAATGGGTTTCTTGAATTGGCTAGCCAGTGTTTGAGGAAGGGTTGCTTGCCATCCCTATATCATCCAAGAAGATGCATGTTTGGCACTGGTCCAAGAAGGTTCTTGAAACGTGATGAGCACCTACATTGACCCCTCAAACCACCCCAATGTGGGTAAATGTGCAATATGCGGAGCGACCGGGACGGGTTTATGTCTGTGGCTTCCACAACGAAGCTACTTCTGTGTCTATGGTGCTGGCACTGACCCCTCGATAACTATTCTTCCATCTTCTTCCCGTTCCAAAAGGAGACCACATTCTGAGCCAAAACGACCTGCCCAAAACGAAGCTGTTCTTTCGGACTTGCGCTCCAACCGAACGGTGGATCGAAGGGCTCGCGTTTGGCCGAGTCGGGGAATCCGCCATAGTTGGCTAGGGTATGCTAGGGTATTGTGCTGGTAGGGTAGAGGATTTCATGGATTTCTATGGTCTTTCCAGGGATTCCAGCCCACTTCCATGTGTTCAGAGTGTGGTTGGATCACCGGACGTGGATTTGGGAGATCGGTTTCCTGTCGCTGGTATGGAAAGAATATTGAAAGACTTCAATGACAAAGGACCTGCCTCACATGGCTGAAAGGGTCCAATCATGTGCCACCTCACTTTCTCTTGGACCATACGCATCGATGGGTATATTATATGGTACGTATGGTAGTTAGATATATACCAGGACCCTCCAAGGGGTCCCCAATGGAAGCCTATAGGTCTTGTGGGGTAGTCCATTGGACACCCCTTGGAGGGTCCGGTATATATATATATATATGGTATTATTGATAGTATATGGTATTATTGATAGTTTATATGTTGATAGTATATTATATGGTAACTTATATATGGTAGTTATGGCATATTCTTCAGGCCACCATACATGGAGGCTCTGGGAAGTTACGTTCCTTCGCCCGTTTCGGGGGCTTCGAAGACCAGAGGCCGAAGCTGGAGTCATGGTCGTGGCGGTGGACTATCGAATCTTGGGACACCAGATCGACCGTGGAGCGACATGGACCGACGTGGCGGGGATGATGGGCTCCTGATCTACCTCCGTTTCGAAGATGGCTTGAATGGCTTGGGTGTTTTTTGGGGGGTCTAACCACCGATCTTGAGGATCTGCTTCGAACCCTAGGGGGTTGAAGGAAATGGATCGGTGGAGACGAAGCCAGACCATCCTACATGGGAGTGGGCCGATTGGTCTGAGATGGTGCAGATCTTGGGTCTGTGAGCTGTTGGACTTGGTCATCAGTGCTGAGGTCTGACCCAGATCCAGACGCGAGGGAGACCCGTTCCAGACCCCAGCTCGCTGTGACCGATGACCGTTCTTGGCTCGGGTTAGATCCTCCGCGTGCGAACAAAGAAGCCCAAGTATCAATTGCATTAAAGAATCACCAAACACATTGTAAGACATGCTTACACCGTACAAAGGTCTTTGAGCCAGGAGCTGTTTAATTTTGCATGTGAGTGCTTTCGATTCATCCTGACACACAGCAGCTGGCTCGCTCGCAGCTGACGAAAGCCATGTGGGTCTGAGTCTCAGAGGGTCTCCAGATGCTTTATTGTTTTTCCATGCAGCACCATTCATTCCGGGTCACTGAAAGTTGGATTGTGGGTCTTCTAGCGGTTAGCCAAAACATTCCAGACACCTCTCAGTGTCCAGCTGTGCAAGACCGACGGGAATTCGGGTCGAATTCTGGACACTTTCAGTCAACGCTCAACAAAATCTATGCGGATTTCTCACCCAAGGCTGTTTGTTTTATGATGTCAAGGCCTATGGGATGTCAGAAACCGGGAACATCACTATAGTTCACTATATAGTGTAAGCCCCTAATATGGTGTTCTACTCGATCCGACTGCGCTGAAACCTCGCGCGAACTCGCTGGGGATCATGTGGTGCGACCTGTTCTGAGGGATCATGTTGTGCAGTTCCAAGCACCACCAACAAGGATGTGGTGATCCCTGTGCCTGGAGCGAGAATTGAGGGGAACCGGATGGAACGAGACGAGCGAGAAGAGTTTGGGTGATGGTGGGTCCGGATCCGCGTTTGGTGTGCAGCCAATGAGTGAGTCATTGCCGGTTCGGTTTAATCTTATGGGGGCCCTTATTTTCTTAAAAGGTCAAAAGAACACGGTTTGGTATTGTCGATCCCACTAACTCCGTATTCAGTCCGTACTACACGTATTTAAATAACGATGATCATTGGTCGTTAATATCACAAAGGATATATATCACCTAGCGTCTTTTTTTGGTCGGGGATCTTTCCAAGCACCGTTCTTCCACGAGTTGGAGAAAGCATTTGACCGAAAAACAGCTGCGGTGTGGGCGGTCCCTGCTAGACTAGCAGCTAGACTAGCAGGCTGTCGGCCTTTTTTGGGACGCTCAAGAGTCGCGTCCCGTCGGAGCCAGCGAGATCGGACCTCAGTGGGAAAAGGGGCCCAAGAACTCACTGCTCACGGTACTGAAGTAGCAACAGTTGCACGTCTCCCAATGTCAAGTAGTGGCGAATCGGGTCAAAGCATGAGTCTAGTCTTGATAGCGCATGCAACCCGAGCCTTCCTCCAATCAACTTTATTGAAACTGAACTGGAGTTGGTTAATGCGATACCACCAAGAAGAGCACGGCAAGGTCTACATCCAAAAAGCAGTTCTTTCTTATCACTCATGACTGACTGACAACACGGCATGGACTTCCCCTAGGCTTAATCCACTGGTCAGGAACAGATTCCACTTGCATTTAGCTCGCGACTTGCATTTAGCCTGCGTTTGCAAGGTTTATGTTCACGATAAGCCACCAAAATGCCCCGCCGGGACATTTGGGCACGATATTCTGAAAACGCTCGGTAGGTTCGCACACCAAGCCACAGAGGCGATGAGGTTATGGTCCACAGCTTGGACCTTCACAGGTTCGAGAGCTGGAGCAGACGAAGAAGGACCTGGAATTGCAGCACGGCGCTCCTCTAGTATAGCCCCTTGTTCGCCCCGGACCCTGCGGCGAACGAGGAGGCTGATGCACGCGCCAGCGGAGAAGTGGCCTGTCTCTACATCACCGACCTCCAGCTGTCAGCTCGCTGGCCACGACCTCCTCCCCCTGCCGGAGCCAGCGCGGCCCAATTTGGCAAAGGTCAATTTGGCCGGGCTTTTGTCATTCATCTTCAGGTTCCACGGGTGCAGATCGCGGCGCCCAAACACACCAAGGTCATCCAGATTCAGATGCTCGATGACTCGATGACTTCATTGCGGGGGCCCCTCTCCGCCAATGCCATTGAGAAGGCGATGGGGCGCAAAGGATCTTGACGGGCCCCCTTCTCTTTTCGTGAGCGGGCTTGGATGACGGCTGTCGAAGCCATGGGAAGACCGCCCGGTTTTGCGCACGTTGGCTTGTCCCCAAATTTTGAGCAGTACTCCCCCACCTTCCAAAAGCCCGATGGGGTTGTGAATTTTGCGGGGCCTGCATCAGGGGTTGGTGCACCCCCAGTGCCAACCTCCGAGGTCCACTCACTGGTTTCACCACCCAGATCTTGCATGGTCTTCAGTCGTCTTCTGAACCTCCACCCTCCTCATGGAGCTGGCACCGTGAGGGCTGCTCGGTGGCCCCAAGCCACATTTCAACAATTATTCCGCCAATGGGCAGCTAAGGTTTCACACCAGCGCTTTGCCTTTCTCCTTGATCCCTTTCCTGTGTTGAGGGCGCCTTTGCGTTTGCTACGCAGCCCACCCATGGTCCAGTGACCGGATCTGGCGGGTGACCTTCTGACTTCTAACCCCCTTCCGTAGGCCCTCCTGAGGAGCCACAGCCCCCAAAAGGTTCCGCGATGGCATCCGTGCCTGGCAGGCCGAGGTGTACGCCGCACTGGGCAAGGGGTGCGCGCTGGAGAAGTACGCGCCTCCAAGGCTGTCCTCTTCCGCGACTGGTCTCTGGGCCGCACCCTCTTGCTCACTCTGAAACCAGCTCATCTGTAGGGCTCCTTCCCTTGCACTCCTTTTCTGTGCTTGGATTCTTTTGGCCATCTTCCGCAATTGCGACATGGCTCCACGCCCTGATGGGAGACGCTTGCAGCGCTGCTATAGAAGCGCTCCCCTGTTGTGCGTCACTTGGTTTGCGGATGTTTGTGGAAACAGCTTCGCACACGTAACGTATGCACACGTAACTTTGTTCAACGACTTTTGCAGGTTGCACTAGGCAACCAGATCTGAAGGGGATCAGAGATCCAACCAGCACGTTCACGTTCCAAGGAAAAGGGACGGGCCGTCCATTTAGGGAGCGTGGGGCTGATGTTATCGAAAAAGGTGCGTGTCCCAGAGCACCAGACACCTCCACCAGAAGAGTGAATGAATTCCGCCCTTGAGGACAAACATGTCTTTTCAGATTTGCCAATATTTTTTCGCAACTCTTCGATCGGCGGTCGGGTTCAGTCTACCAAGTTTATCCAGCAGGAGCTGGAGCAAAAACATAACGTATATAATAACATAATCATAAGTAGTCATATATCACATAATATATATATATATACACATCTGAATCAAGGCCCCAAAGCACATGTCAAATCACAGTGAAATGGCGCTTGACATGGTTGACCCATTGTTATTCACGATTCCGGATTGTGTGTTTTATCCTCCCGTCTTGACCTCGGACAAAGTGGACAAATCATGACAAATCTAAGGAAAATATGGTTCCTTGGCCCCCGGAGATTTGCAGGGCAGTCTTGGGAAGCGACGCGCGCTCGTCACGCTCGTCGAAACCGTTTGGATCCAAAGGCACCTCTTCAGCGTTGATCAGGATCCCAAAGACGTCCGATTCATTGGAAATGGCGCTTGGTAGAGAAACCAAATGGATAACGTATCCTCATGTATCCTCAAAAAGATCGGGTTCACAGGCATTTCCTCTCAGTGACAGTTCCAAGGCCCAGGGCCCCACCCCTGAAAGATGAACATGTTCATTGTTGATGCAACATGGACAAATTTCATCTCAATGTGCAATTTTTTGTGTTCCCATATGGTGGAGGAACCAAACCGTTGTAATGCCTCAAATTGCAATGCCACTCTCAGATCTCTCAGTGTTTCAAAAACTAGTATAGAGGTTTCGTTGTGTATATTTGGGTTCCGCATCCCGATCGTGACCATGAACGATGAACGATTCATTTTGAGAAGATCCAACATTTGGCCCTTGCAGTTTGAAAGTCGGCCATGACCATAAGATCCATAAAAACTTCCGTTCAAAGTGGTTGATGGTGAGAGTCAACACGGGGTTTCAAGCCAAGAGGTCGTGCTGGCGAGCTCCGACAGGGTCCCACAGGGTCCCCAGCCGCCCAGGAGGACGATACCGCCAAGGCAGGGTCTGGCGGGCCAGACACCAGAAACACCGCCGCGCTCTCCAATTTGTTACGTCTTCAGATCTCAGACCATCCATGCGAATGGAAGAATGTGTCTATTAGTACTAGTATATTAGCACTAGACTATATTAGTAAAAACTATATTTTCTCTTCACAACTGCTTTGGCAGCTAGTGTTTGTTGACGGGCGGTGGGTTCAAGGCCTGCAATGAAGATCGCTGCTTTCATCCTTGCTCAGTTTCGACACACATCGTTGCTGAAGCAACCATGAACACTAGTCTTTGTTTAATAATGTTTATAATCAATTTTGGTCCTGTTTAATTAGATACAGAGGTACTGGAGCAAGCCCTGGTTTGCAGAGTTTGTTCGCGGGGGTTGCAAGTTGCCAGGAACCCAGCCAGGGCTTTTGGGGGTGTTGTTAGTGCCACTAAGTCATACCCTGCAGGCCCTGCAGGCGTCCCGACCCCCTTCAAATAGATTCGGAGCATTGACCCCTCTTCCCTATAAACATCCTACACAACCCACATCTTCCTACACCGCACCCAACTCCGGTCCCGTTCGCAACTGGCCCCTCGCACCCTTGCACCGTCTCACTCAGTGGCCAGGAGGTGCCCTACTCGCCACCCATGTCCGGGCTCGACTCAGCGCTGACGACCGTTGGGATGGGGTTTGAGGTTGCGGAGGGGTTGGGGAGCTCGGGGAACAACAGAGGTGTCCGAACTGACCTGAAGCAGTCGGTAAACCATTATATAGGCCTGCAGCCTGCAACTGAACCATCATCATACAAAACGTATCTTGATAAGATTGAAAGCCGAAAACATAAATCCACTAAAAATCCACTGTTACTGGTAATAGGATAGACCCAAATTATATAGTATATACACAGGATTATACTAAACTAAACATATAACACAATGTTGTTTTTTAAAATATTGGCCGCCTATTCCTGCCACTTAGTCTTAAACCTTCAAAAAAACTTTAACATTTTGAGGGATCCATTTCCCTATAGAAGAGTTGGAAGACTGTGAATGTTTTGCGTTCCATCCATGTTGTGGCTCCATATCAGAGACATCCCAGTCACCAGTTAGGGAGAAATTAAACAGCTCACCTGCAATTTATCCTTTGTGCGCTATTTTTTCTTCCACCGAACTTCAGCAAACTGCATTCCCTAGAGATCAGAGTTGATGACGAAAGAGCAGGCAGTGACACACACTCAGAAGTAAAAAAACTCTGGAAGGGTTCCATGAAGTCCAGCAATCTCTGGGCACTGGGACAAACCCAGGGAGAATCCTCAATGGTGACCTCACATGTCCTCGCCAAAATCACGAGAATGAGCGAGAATGAGACCAATTTATACATGTTTGATAGTTCCAAGACATTCCCATGCTAGAACACGGTTAATGGTGCACACTCCAAGTTCAGGTGTCAACATGAATTCGCGAACTCACGCCGTGTTCGCCGTGTGTGTTGGCACGCGGTGTGAAGGCACTCCACTCATTCAAGGTGAATGCCACACAGAGCTTGGGCCGATTCTCCAAACATGCCAACGGACTCATAACGCTATCATGCTGTCAGGTGTTTGCATCATAACGCAGCGAGACCATTTCGCTTGGAGGGTCTTTGGTTGGGAGCCCAAAACCAAAAACCATGCAATGCAACCAAGTGACATGGGTTTGTGGTATGCACGCTCCAGCTTGTGCTCACCGTGTGCAACAGATGCTCGCCACCTTCGGGACCACGCCGATAGAACTCGGTGATGCTTGCCACCTCCCCTACGCTTCGGGTGGACTGCTTTCTGCCCACGCTGAGCTGGTCATTCTTTCACATTGACATGCTGGTGATTCCGAAAACACTTCCAAACAGACCAAGCACCTGGACCGAGATCACAGCATGAGGTCTTTTCCGCTGAAGGGTCATCCTTTCCAGAGCAACCTCCCGTTTTCACCGGGACGAACGTTCCTGAACTCTCCTGGAGGACAGAACTTCCGGAGGAGGAGGAGGAGCCTCTGGAGCCGCAGGAGAGACGGCCGAGCCGGAGGGGCGTTGGTTTCGACGTGTGTTTTTGGATGGTTTCCCCAGCTGAACGGGGACCGATCAAAGCTGCATGGTGTACATCATGTCTTCCACATCGATTCCCTGCGTTTTTCGAAGGGAAAGACAGCAAGGAAGGAAAACGACACAAAGAACGACAGAACGTGCTGCATCGATCCAGCACGTTGATTTCCTCAAAACCACTTTGAACCGAAAGCCCCACCAAAAAAGCAAACAAACTTTCACTTTCGCACCGGTCCTAAACAATTGATTTTGACGACGCCTCATACAATGAAATTGAAGAAAAGAAGTACACAAAGGAGCAGATTATGTCAAGCCTAGTGTGCTGTATTTGTTCCCAGGTTTGGTCAAGCTTTGGTGGCCTGTTGTAGTAACGTCATACAATCTCATACAGCTTCTTTTAAGTTCCTTTCATTGCCCCTTGTCCATTTCATGTTCGACTAAAGACCAACATGAACGTCCTCCATAGTGTTCTTGTAAATTTCTATTCATGCCTCGGCAAACATGTACATGCTCCTTAATTAATTCCTTTTGAATGCCATCAACCCTATTGGTTTTTTGGTCTTTTCCTGTCACATCTTCCTCGCCGTGTTTTTTGTTTATTTTTCCCGTAAGGGCTCCTTTATTTGTCGTGTTCCTGTGCTCGCGGAACTAAAGGTTCGGCTTCATAGTTCTTGGAGCTTTTAGTTACTAACTAGTTATTCTTTCAAAGCTTAATTTACATTCCTGGGAAAACATGGTCTCAGCAGAATCTCAGAGTTTGTGTCATGTTCCGAACTTGTTTTCCACTAAGGTCTGGGATTTCCATTGGCTTTCCCTTGACAGATTTTGTCTCCTAGCAAAATGATTATGTTCATGTTGATTCATTTCCGCGAAATCTGTCAAGTCCGAGCCGTTGGCAAAGTTTGCTCTTATTGGCACAACAAAAACAGGACAAAAGCAAAACACATGGAATATACGAGGAATGTGAGGAACTGGAGGGTGCGATGAGAGGAACTCTGAGCTTTCGATGCCTGGAAAGCAGGGTCCGGTGTGGGATGACTAGATGGTGGACTAGAATGCTTGACTCGACACTTGGAGAATCAATGAAACATGACCCAAAAGCAGAACATATATGGGGGCCTATCTGATGGGTTTTGCGATGCATGACTCTGTTGTCACTCTTGCCGGATCACATCAGAGATACTGCCCGAGTAGCCGGCACCAGGAGAAGACCGACTTCGACAAGAAGAAGAAGGCCCCACCTTGGTCGTGTTTTGTCGACGAAGAAGGCCCTCACGGAGTTTTTGTTTTTTGCCATGACAAATGCATCTATACCAGGAGCATCCTGGACCATGGGTGTCCTGGACGCCCCTCAGCCCACTGCTGTTGCCGGGATCTTCGCTCTTTTGTTCAGTCGATTCAGAAGATCAACCCACATAATCAGGTTCTTCCAGTGCCTTGCACGCGTGGCCTAAGAGATCATCATCATCATCATCATCATCATCATCATCATCATCATCATCAT